GGGGAGGCATTTCATTAAGGACCAGATGTACAATATTGTTGCCACAGGGTCAATTTTGGACATGTGTCATTATATGTCTTTGTGAAATTTGCATTCATTTGCATTTCTATACCTAATAGACCTTATTAGAGGGCACTGTGATCACAATTTTCTAAAAGATTTGTGGCCAACAGTTATTTTGCTGGCAGATTAAAAGAGATTAGTGAAGAGAGGTCCAGTTGGGATATAACTGGAATATTACTGAAAACAGTACTTAAGAAATTATATATAGGACACTTTTAGCATCTATATGTATATATTTTAGAGTTTTAGCTTGTTGTTTGCTACTTAATTTTTTATACTATAGATGATCTTAGTATATTTAGTTGTTTTGATTAAAACAAGATTTATTTATGTTTCATAATATCTACATTCTTGATTAAAAATTAACATTTTTGTAAAGATATTTAGCTTTGGAGGTAAACACATTATTTTTCTCAACATTCAATAGGCATGATTATCTTTCACCTTCCTGTTGGGAAACATACCTCTCCCCAATTTTGTTCTTTCAATATCAAAAAATCTAATATAAAATATTATTTTCTAATGCGAATTCAGTTTAAGTAGTTTAAGATACCCAAGTGGTATTCTCTTTTTTCAGTAAAGAAAAAAAGCAATAATTTCAAAGATAGAAATAATGTGTTAGTTATAAGCATATTTAATTTTAAATCTTTTAATGTCTCACAATGATTTTGTGCCCATTTTGATCTTAGATAAGTCTATAGGACTTTAGAGATTGCTTAATACGTTAAGATTTTATTTTTCCATTGATTACAGTTTCAAATAGAATCCAGACTTATTTCATGTTCCTCTTCCCTCCCTCTCTCCCCTTTCCTATCTTATAACAGATACGAAAGTCCTTTTGTACTTGGGAAGATTATTTTCCACATTTTATTTTTAAACATGTAGTTTAATAATAAAAAAAAAAGGACCCATTGAAATGACTGTAAAAACTCACAGGGGAACACTGGGTAGGAATTTTCACAAATCAAAAGTAAAATGAATATTTAATAGCTATGTCCAAGTACATAATTACTGTGTTTGAATTAACATTCAGTAATTAAAAGTTTGAATTATTATTCAAAACTTTTAGTTTTCTCCTGATCCTAACCACTATTCTGCTCATGAGAAACATGCTTTGTCACTCTTATGTTATTATACTCTGTGTAAGACAGTATAATACTTCTGTGTAATGTGAAATAACTTTAAATAACAGTATTTCCTTGTCTCTTAACGTTTACACCAAGTAAAAGTTAAGATGATTCTCACCTTGTTAATAGTATTACTTGCGACTAACAAAATTGCCTGATATTTTTTCCTTTGCAATGTAGTATGCTCCCGAGGATTTAATCGAATATGACTATGAGTATGGGGAAGCAGAGTATAAAGAGGCTGAAAGTGTAACAGAGGGACCCCCTGTAACTGAGGAGACAGTAGCACAATCGGAGGTAAAAACAAAGCAGCGCCTCTGTCTGTGGTGTCTTGCTGTTCATCATCCTGCGGTTCCGTGTTTTGACTGTTCCTCAGACTTACCATAAACCTTTCATTCATCTTATTTCTCTGAACCAATAAGTGTGGTTTTTATTTGACAGTAGCTGTCCTGAAGAATGATGCCCGTTTCACTTCTGCTTATCCTTCCTTTCATCCATGCTCTTTATTTCCCTTCTCACTTTATTTATGTTTTCCATTCCATCTTTCACCACATTTTACAGAAAAAGAAATCCAATTTCAAAAAGAAGACGAGGACAGTGGCCACTAACTCAAAGGAAAAGTCCAAAAAGTTTACACTCCCCAAATCTGAAAAATTTTCATCCAAGAAGAAGAAAAGTTATCAAGCATCAGCAAAAGCCAAACTAGGGGTAAAGGTAGCCAAGAAAAAGCAATCAAGATCTATCCTAGATAAGCTGGAAGATCTCTGATGATGAGTCATAGTCTTAACCCAACTAGATAAATACTCATTTGGCTAATACTATAACCCAATTAAATCATGATTTCCATATATTTGGGATTACTTTACATCTTTACTAATTGTCTGTCTTCTGAATTTATCATTAGGCAAATATTGTTGATGATTTTCAAGAATACAACTATGGAACAATGGAAAGTTACCGGACAGAAGCTCCTAGACGTGTATCTGGATCAAATGAGGTAATACACATAGATGGTATCAAAACACAGGCCAACTTTTTAAATTGTGTAATATATTTTAATATACTTCACTCTGGAAGAATCTATAATCTCTCAAACATCTGATTTTTTTTCTTTTACTAAGAGAAACAATAGCATTGGTTCACTATTATTAAAAACAGTTCATTTGAAATCAGTCAGTTCAGGTTCTGCATGACTCTTCGCTTCATGCAAATGCTCAATTGATCAGACTGAATTGGCTTGTCATCATTTTGTTGATTGCTCTTGGAATTAAGTAAGCTTTTCAACATGTTGTGATGAAGGGTGTTCACAACATGCTCCTTCTGGGAGAAGAATCCTCTGTGGTGAAAATTGTATCATGAAATGATACAATTAAAATTTTATTTCATCTGACAAATAATCATGCATTTTCATGACAGCAAGCATTTGGAGAAAATGTAGTATTAGTGCATTTTAATAACTATTTACATTTTCTTTTTCTTTTTTTTTTTTTTTTGGAGACAAAGTCTTGCTCTGTCGCCTGGGCTAGAGTGCCCTGGCATCAGCCCCGCTCACAGCAACCTCAAACTCCTGGGCTCAAGTGATCCTCCTGCCTTGGCCTCCCCAGTAGCTGGGACTACAGGCGCATGCCACCATGTCTGGCTTCTGGCTAATGTTTTCTATTTTTAGTAGAGACGGGGTCTCGCTCTTGTTCAGGCTGGTCTCGAACTCCTGACCTCAAGAGATCCTCCCGCCCCAGCCTCCCAGAGTACTAGGATTACAGGCACGAGCCTCCTCGTCCCACCTACATTTTCAAACTTGTTAGGAGTGTAATGTTAATTATTGTTAAAATATATCTTAATCTTGCATTATTTTCTATGAAAATATTTGAACATATATAGGTAAAAATAAATCTTACTGAATTTCATATTGCACATGCATACTGATCATAAAAAAATCAGCATATGAGTCACATTAACTTTGTTAAATATCTGGCATACATCTTTTTATAATTTTATCAGAAAATGAATATAATGACTATGAGAGTAATTTAGTTATCATACAATTTATATAAAATGTGTCCCAATGAGACAAATAAACTTAGTGCTTTACGTGCAAACACAAAATTTAGAATGGTAAAAATTTAGGGTGAGAATGGATTTTAAGTTTCTTTTAGTTTAAATTAGTAATGTTCCAAAAATGAATATATTGATTTGAGATGTTTATCCACCTATTGAAACTCATCCAGCTTTTTAGTGCACAACAATGACAATAGTAATATTCTGACCCCAGAAAATATGCAACCTGTATAGACAGCATATATTCCTTATCTAAGAGTCTGAAAATATTAATATTATGGTTATTGGACATTTTATTTTAGTAAAAAATTGCCAAATTCATCATTTATCCACATATTTTCATGCACCTGATTTTATGTTATACTAATTTATTCAATATTACTCTATGATCTACACTCACTATATCATGGAAAACAAGTTACTTTCAAAATGGAATTTAAAAAGAAGGGACATAAATTAATTTGAACATCATCAGAATCAAAATAAGGACAAAATTAACAGAATAAATATGATTCAAATTTATTCTGTTGATAAGGAATTACTTATGAGAAAAAGAAAATTATACCAGGTTTATTTTCTATATCTCTGAGGAAATATTATTGATATAACTTTTACTTTTAAGTTAATATTTATTCCCTATTCTTCATAACATTGTACAGTGATATTTTATATTTCATTGTCTTAAATTTTGAGAACTATAATTTATATTTTATTTACTTTAAAGACTGGTTTGGTTAAATACTACTTCCCTACATATGAAACACTCTGCATAATCACTGCAATGATAAATCTCAATCTATATTTGTATTATTATTTTATTAATAGGATGAGAGTCAAACTTGCATGGCTTACCCTTACAGCAAGTGCATTATATAATAATGTTCTGTGAGATTTAAAAATTAAGCAAAGCTTTTTCTATATGTATGTTTTGTTGTTCAAATTTTAAACTTTAAATATGAAATTGATATTTACAAGTTTTTTTTTAATGGAACAAGCAAATACACATGTTGATTCCATGTGAATATTTGCAGTTTATTGGGAAAAGTGCTTTGAAAGCAATATCTCTTTGTACATACCAATGTACAAATGTATTTCTTTCAGTGATACTGAAAGGCTACCCTTCTAGGCCTTTAGAGTCGCTTGAATTGCTTCTCATCACATGCCATTAAACTGTAATTCCAAATGCTTACCATGCTTTACTAACAGTAAACTTCGTGTTCTCCAATTCCTTGCAACTTAAATTAATAGCCAAATCCAGTTGAAGAAGTATTTGCTGAAGAATATCTAACTGGAGAAGATTATGATTCCCAGAGGAAACATTCAGAGGATATGCTATATGAAAACAAAGAAATAGACGGCAGGGACTCTGATCTTCTGGTAGATGGAGATTTAGGCGAATATGATTTTTATGAATATAAAGAATATGAAGATAAACCAACAAGCCCCCCTAATGAAGAATTTGGTCCAGGTGTACCAGCAGAAACTGATATTACAGAAACAAGCGTAAGTTGACATTACGCTCTGTGTCATTGTGTGTCTTATTTTGGGGATATTGTCATGTTCATCTTGATGTTGTTTCAGAGTTAAAATACAGGTTGAGTTCTTGTGTAAATTATGAATATTTATCACTCATCACAGCATCTTAATAGATTCTTTCACATGGAAATCTTCAGCAGTTGTATATTTGGCCATACTACTGGAAAAATATAATCTTAGAAAGAATTGTATCAAAAATTTATTAGCATTAATAAGGTTAAAATATAGTCATTATTCTGAGTAGCAAGTCTAATTTCTGATTTTTGGACTATTTCATTAAATTTAATTTGATGACATTTCTAAACGCCTTGGAGTAATAATGGAGGTCTATAGATATCTTTATCTTTTTGTAGTGTGTTTTTAAGAAGCAGAATCTCTTTTAAGATTCAGTATTAATGTTTATTATGCTTTCCTTTTTATTTTTTCTCTATTTAAACCTTTAAAAGGTTTCTATTTAAAAAAACACATTTTAATAGATTGTTTTAAATATGTTTAGATTACAAAATTCCTTTTTAAAAATTGAAATGGTCTTATTTACTTACAGAGATTGAGGCTGTTTTGAATTTTTCATTCAACAGATAAATGGCCATGGTGCATATGGAGAAAAAGGACAGAAAGGAGAGCCAGCAGTGGTTGAACCTGTAAGTACTGGTGTGGATGCATTTTAAAGGTTGGTGAAATTGTTACATTTATATTATGAATCATCATCACATTCAGTTTTTATGTATGTTCATATATTACCATTGACCATCCTGGTTTCCAAATGTTTATAACTTGCCACAAATAAATAAGTTAATAAAACCTTTTCTAGAAAAAAGGGATTTCAGTAAACCAAAACATTACACACATACAAAATTTCAGAATTTGAAAGTGGCTAAGATTTTTTTGTTGTTGAATTCTCTCATTTTAAACCTAAGGTATCTGAGATCTAAAGGATTTTAATAACTTTCTTGAGGTTTTAAATGTTTGGCCATTAATATATAATAGGAATTTAGCTTTTCTAGCTTTCAAATCAATGATTTTTTTCCTCTACTCTCTATAACTTGACATTATTAGAAATGTTATTTGACATAGATACGTATTTATTACATATCCAAATTGCATCCTACAATAATATAAAAATATTCTTTAAAATTCACTTCCTTTTAATCTATGGAAAAAACTCTTATTCACTCCAAAATTGATTCTTTAAAATTTATATTAATGTTATTACTACTCATGTTATTGGCAAGGAACAAATTCTTACTAGGAAACAATTTTACTATTGCTTTCCCCTAATCAGCAACTTGGAAAAACTGTGTTAGAACTAAAAGTAGCATATTTATTTAATAGTTTGCCTCAAGGTCAAAATGAAAATCACTTCAGATATTTCATGGGAATAAAAATTTAAAAAGAGAATAAATATAAAGATAAAAAAGATATAGCTTTAAGGGACCAGGTTGGCTATCTATTCCATTCTTTCAAAATCATGCCATGCCCACCAAAGGCTTTAAAAATATTTTTTCAGGACAAAGCAGTTCTTACTATAAAATTTTACAACCATCTTTTTTTTTTTTTTTTTTTGAGACAAAGTCTCTCTCTTTTGCCCGGGCTAGAGTGAGGTGGCGTCAGCCTAGCTCCCAGCAACCTCAAACTCCTGGGCTCAAGCAATCCTACTGCCTCAGCCTCCCGAGTAGCTGGGACTACAGGCATGTGCCACCATGCCCGGCTAATTTTTTCTATATATTTTTAGTTGTCCGATTAATTTCTTTCTATTTTTAGTAGAGACGGGGTCTCGCTCTTGCTCAGGCTGGTCTCGAACTCCTGAGGTCAAACAATCCCCCCGCCTCGGCCTTCCAGAGAGCTAGGATTACAGGCGTGAGCCACCGTGCCTGGCCTACAACCACCTTTTAACATGACTTTACAATTTTTAGCAGTCCAAAGTTGCAGTAAAATCATAAACCTTTTAGAACTGAGTTCTTACTATGAAATTGTACTATATTCTTTTGCTCCTTAAGAGCTTATCTCACGTTTATCTATATTTCTTTTAACTGGACTTTTCTTCCAATTCCCTGAATTAAAGTGCTTAGGTGTCACTTCCATTCATTCATTCATACAGCACATATTTATTAAGTTCCTTCTTTGTGCCAGGGATTATTCTGGTGCTAGGGAAAACTTGAGAGAATGACTTGTCTACCTTTCTTGAGAGCACTTTGTATATTCTCCTTTGTAATATTATTTACTGTAATATTTATTTTCTCTTCAGTTAGTTCACAGATTCTCTGAGGACAGGGAGTATGTCTTCCCTCATTTTAAATTTCTTCCTTTCCCTATGCAAAAATGTTTGTAATTGATTTTATATGGTATGAAGAGACAATTCACTTTTTAATGTGCAATGATATAGTACTTTCTCGTAGTGCCTTAGTTAAGAAATTGAGGGTTACATTTCCTTGGTAAAGATGTTTATCTTTTTTTATTATAGGGTATGCTTGTTGAAGGACCACCAGGGCCAGCAGGACCTGCAGTATGTAAATGTTTTATGATGGCTTTTATCTTTATTTTTTTTATAATTGGCTATAAGATTTCTATCACATCATTTTAATTTGCATATTTTAGACTAATTTGAGTATTATAGAGGTAAACATTGATTCAGGGGAGCTGGTAGCATTAAACTGCCTTCTAAGATGTCTATTCAAGTGATATTCTTTTAAGTGCACTGGAATTAAATTTTGTTTTAGATATTTTTGTTGCTTAAATATCTCTGCATCTTCTAACCTCATTTTCATCTTTCCACCTGAACATTGTAAAAGTGAAGGAAAGCCATGCTTATTTATATCGCAGAGGTATGGTTATATCTCAATGAATGGTATTGGGAATTCTAGGTAGACTGTAGCTGCCTCTTCTGTGTATCTGTATGGAGGGATTATCGGATTCCATTGTGATTTCCTGATGAGGCTGATGTTACACAGTGTGTTTATTCTCAGGTGATTATACTGATAAGACCTTTTAAGAAATCCTCTGTCTTTTTGTGGAATCAATTAAATTCTGGTCACTCGAAATAATATATGATACTGATAACTTTAAATACTTTTACTTATAAAAGAAAATATAAAAATGGCTCCAAGCTAAATGATTTCTACATTTTCATCTTTGCTATCATATTTTTGAGATCTAATTTTATGAGTATACCATTTCTTTAGTAAGAACTGGGAACCGAGTCCTAACCCCAATACTCAGGGACTTTACATTGGCATGCTCTCCTTTCCTGTTTTTCTTGGGATGTTTGCCTCCTTTCTGAGAGGAGCTGAACTAGCTACAAAGTGGTTTCCATATGATGTCTTTCCATAGAAAGAGAAATAGGGAAATTGTTTAGGAGACAAGTGTATATTTATGAATATAAAGGAATTCTTCTTTGATTTTAGTAAGACGAATTTGCCTGAAAACTAGTGAGATTAGGAATCTATCTGACTCAGTTTATGGTGTGTTTCTCTATAGGGTCTCATGGGTCCTCCAGGTCTGCAAGGCCCCTCGGGACCCCCTGGTGATCCTGGCGACAGGGTAAGTGAAAGGGTATCTTATTACAAAAGCATGTAACACAGATTAAAAGAATTTAAAAATATTCCACGGGTTTAACATGTTATCCTTTTTGGAGGTGGGAGGGATATGGGTGAGAAATCTATGAAATCAATGTTGCCCATTTCAGTTAACTTTTTAAACTATTATTTTCAAGTGAGGGTAAGGAATGCACATTTATCTATGGTATAATTAGTAAGCAAACTTTTGTTCTCAGCTGATTTCTATATTGATATGAACTTATTACATTAGACTCCCTTCTTCAAATTTGAATTCCAGACATATGTTCCAGGCATTCCCATTGATATTTAGCTTGATGCTGTTAGAATGAGTTAGTTAACCTAAAGTCTACTTTGAAGGTCAAGTCCTGGGTTACATGGTGAAACATCTCATTGTTTTGAGTCTCTCTAAACTCTTCTTGTAAAATATTTTCCCCTTTTTTCCTCATCCTTGTGTAGCCAATAACTTTGTAAAAATAGTGGATCAGTGATGCAAATGGCTTATACTTTTTATATATTTTCAATGTAAAGAAGGCAAAAAGTCTTTATAATTTAAATTTTAAGGAAAGAAGATTTTTAAATATTTCAGAAATTCTGGTCTGGCTGAGAGCTATTTAAAATTAAAGGATGTAAGTAGTATATTATGCAAACACTGCATAATTTTTATTTTAAATTTATAAGACTAGTTTTTCTTACATGGTCTGCTTTCTTAATCTCATCTATACAATTTGACAGAGACATTTATTTGTAATCAGTCACTTCAGTTTATATTTTCTTATTTTTGAATTCTACCATATTTTCATGACCTCTTTGTATTCTGTAATTTATTGACCTTAAACCCCTATTTTTTGTTATAAATTCATCTCTTTACACTGTGCCTTAACACATATATACAAATGATCTTACATATTTAGAAAATACTTTATTAAAGAGAAATTTTACCTATTGAGCTAGATTTGTTAGTATTTAAAACATTGATTTGTTTATAGAAGCCATTTTAGAACTTATTTTAAAAGTTATTTAAAGACTGTAGAGAATCTCTCTATATAACATTTTATATGAAATATAATCTTACAAGTCTAAAATCAATGTTAATTTTTTTCTAAGAATTAACTTTTATAAGAAATTCATATTTGAAAAGTACTGCTGCATTTTTTTTTATATCAAGTGCATGGTTTAAGTTGTATCTAGTTATTGTATCTAGTTATATCTATAACTAGTTGTATCAATAACTAGTTGTATCTAGTTATTGATTCATTTTAGAATTTTCCTCCTTTCCTGGAAGAATTACTGGGGTAGGTGGAAATATTTCCTTATATTGAAAGACTGATTGTATCTATGAGTCACATACTCAAGCACAGGTGTATACTTTATATATTTAATAACCCCCGTAATCACATACGTAACTTGCACCTGTAGACACCACAGTCATGGGTAAACTTCTACGTGTGCATGCATATATGCTTGCACGTATACACACTCTGAGTATATTTCATCAGTAAGCATTCAAAATAAATTAGTGATTATCTATGATTAAAATTAACATGTTAAGATTACTGATTATTTTCAAGTATCTATCTTGAAAATAGATACTTAAATTATCTATTTAAATAATCTGTTCAATAAATAATGCTTAAGTATCTGTTTAAATAATTCTTAAATATACCTTAAACTTATTCCTTAATTTTAAATAAAACTTTTATTATTTATTTAAATTCTGTTTTTACCTAACTGTAAAAACCAACTTGAATTACTTGTTTCTCTCACACTGACTTCCCCAAAATATATATTAACTCATTGTCTTACACAGTTTGAGGCTATAAATTATCTCTCAGCAAGATTCATATCATGATTTGATTATACATTAATAACCAAGCATTACTAAAATTATCTAAAGCTAGTGCAATGAAAGACAATCCTTTCTAGGCATACTCACTAAAAGGAAATTAAATTAGGTGGAGAAGGAAAATGCAAATTAGATAATGTAACTTGTGTTATTATGAGTTATTTTACTTCTAACAAATTTTATTGTTTTAGTTTTACTTATTTTGATTATTTCATTTATTTATCTAGGGCCCCCCAGGACGTCCTGGCTTACCAGGGGCTGATGGCCTACCTGGTCCTCCTGGTACTATGTTGATGCTACCGGTATGTTTTTTGTTGTTGTAAAGATGACTTGATATCTTGTCATCTTATTCCTGAAAAATATTGTTGAATTATATTACAGAGCAATCAACTGAAATCCATTCTGTGAGGTAGAGATACTTAAAATCAAGCAGCCTTTGAACTTGTAAAACTTAAAGAAAATTTTACCAAACAAAATTCTGGTAAATATCACTCTATACATTAGAATTAAGGTTTTATTATTTGATTACACTTTTGGCAAAATAATTTTTCTTAATATTTATAGTCATGTGGTTTATTCTGAGTTACATCATTAATGTGCATTTAGTATGTTATTTTATAAAATATTAATATACTATTTATTACTATACAGACTGTAGTTGAATTTTTTAAAAGAAGACATATCTATTGTGTCAGTTTTTATTGCTCAAAAATTATTCACTTTACCATAAGATGTCTTTGCAAAGTTTTTGTTGCCCTAGTGCTCTGGGAAAAAAATGTATTTATCAATTTAAATACAGTAAAGTTTCAAGAAATAACTATTTAGAGTGAAAAAAATGAGTCATGCTGCATTTAGAGTTAAAATTAGAATAGATCTTTAGAAATTTATGGAATAATATTAGCAGGGATCTATTTTATAATGTAATTACTTAAGAATGGATGAACAAAATAAATATATCTCAAGGGAAATTTCATCTGTGTTCATGAAGATTCCAAAAGTTTTGATCAATGAAACAGAGATTGATCTATAACCATCACTGAATTTAGTACGTTTAGAATGTTTACAAATGAATCAATAATATGGGTAACATTTGTACAGATAAAAAGGGCACGAGGGTTGATTCCAGAGTTTCAGAGATTATAGATTTTAAAATTGAAAAAGAATTTCTAGTCTCTTCTTCTACAAATGAAAACATATATGGTAGAAAACTTCTATAAGAAGTAGGAGAAAAATTAAAAAATAATGTAGGTCTCATGACATTATGGACTTTGGATTTTTGTAAAATGCCACCATTTCAAGTAAGTGGTTTTTATCTAGTGATCAAGGCACCAAATTTGACATATTTGACAAAGGCTAATTTTGAGTTTATTTATGTTATCTCTCTTCCAAGTTTCGTTATGGTGGTGATGGTTCCAAAGGACCAACCATCTCTGCTCAGGAAGCTCAGGCTCAGGCAATTCTTCAGCAAGCTCGGGTAAGAAAGAATAAAGATGTGTTACTGTAAACTGACTCTGTGTCAAGTGTGTGTGTGTGTGTATGTGTGTATGTGTGTATGCGTATGGAAGATACTACCATTATGAACAGGCAGGACACATACTTCTGAACAGTATATTGAATATATAATTGGAAACATGCTAAAATTGTATTTATTTTTCCAGTGGTGGTATTTATTAATTGCATATTACAGTTGAAGAACTGACCCCTGCAGTATTACCATATAGAACTCTGGCAGTCTCCCACCACAACACACAAAATTTCTATTTTTTTTTTCAAAATTGATGATTTACAACTAATACTTCCTATCTTTCACATCTAGTTTTACTCTGCTAATGCATGTCAATAATTGATGACTTAAGAAAATTAAGAAAATAAAGGTTGAAATAAATTTGTTCCTCTTTATTTTCTGAATTATTTAAGATATCTCAGATAATCCAGAAAATTATTATAAATATCTTAGAGCTTTGTGTATATGAAAGTAACCTTAAAATGTATATCCAAAACTTTAATACTTATAATCTGTAATATTTTTTCAAAATTCAGTTAACATGGACACATCTTCAGTTTAAAATTCTGTTAGTTGAAAGCTTCTACCATCTGCAGAGTTATAAAACATAGAATTACATTTTTGTCTTTTAATTAACTTCCTTGCAATTAAAATGTACATAGGAAATTTAAAAGAATGGACCAGAAAGGAATTGAAAGTCATATAATACTTTTATTCACAGTATTGGTTTTCCTTTTAAGGAAGAAGGAAATGAAGGATTTATGGTTGGTATAGATATGGTTACCCACTTCCTAACCAATATAAATCATTTCTGCAATAACTTTTTATTCATCATCATGAATTTATGCATTTGCAAAATATCTGAAAACATAAGTGAAGACTGTAATTCACTCAATATTTGTATATGTATTTCCTAAGTCTGTTAATCTAAAAAGATATCATTATTTGGTTATATCATATATGACGATAATGAAAAATTTAAATATTTGTTTATTAGAACTTGACATGATACAAATCTAAAAATATTTGAAATAATTCACTAATTATTTCTACAATTTATTTTATAAATTACATTATTTTGAACAATTTTAAGGTAAATTATTTGAACTTAAATATTTCATGAGGCCACTGAATTCCTCATTTTATTAGTCTTCTTAACCTACTTAAAAATAGGTAGCAAGCATTATAATTCCAATTTTTCAGATATTTAATCTCAAGGATTAAGAAGTGTATTGTCAAAAATCTCATGGTGAGTCAGTAGTGAAACTTTTGAGATCCTACTGTTTTCATCTTGTGCACTTTTCTAATATGATTTTGCATTTATTTCTATTACAGTATTATTTTTGGTATCTTTTGTGATAAATCTAAGTATTCATCCTTTGAATTCTCTAATATTTGAAAATAGCACACCATACTAATTTAACATCTATCAAATTTTTATCTTTTGTACTCTGCGTTTCAACTTTTCAAGTATGCTAATTTCACATTTCTAATATTCAGTGTAACAGTAGTGCATGTCATCAGTTTATTATGCCTATGATTATACAAAATAAATATAT